ATAACTGGAATTGATCTAACTTGAAGAGCTTTCAATTTTAAAAGAAAACATGTATTTACATATGCTATATAAAACTTTTCTGTATAATATGTCTGATATCTTTTTCGTATTTAAAGATTGTACTGATTGATTTATGTTACGAATGAGTTCAGCTTTTAGCATTATAATTTTGTTACTCTTTAAATTTAAGTATATCTGAATCAAAATATATTTGGATCACTAAATGTATTTGCATCACTCAAAGAGGTCTAATTTTTTTTTTCACTGTCTTCACTTAAGAAAATAATAGATAGTTTAATCAGTTCCCGATTATCATCACGTACAATGTTTTATTTTTTTTCTTAAATCAATATATATTAGAATATTTTATTAAAATAAAAAATTGTTATTATACTATCAATTTACGACCCTACCTACCAAGATAAGGTACAGCTAAATTGATATAATGATAACAATTTAGCTGTCTGCACAGTTGTTGTTTTCAATAGTACCTCTGAAATACAGGATGAATCATATTAATAAACAAGTATAATCATAACAATAATACTCTATAAGGAAACGTTTATCGCTATTTAGTAGATGATTTATTTATCAATTTATTTGACCCATATCCGTAACCTCAAATCGCAGGCCGCAGGGTTCAATAAACAAAGGATATCTAGGGGTCATTATTACATTCTTCTAGACGAAACTCCTATTTGGGATCCTAATTTTGTAAATGGCTTCAATCCTAATTTAGTAAATACATAAGACATGCTGGCTAGCGGCAGCTATTTCTACACAGTAATGTATGGTCAGACGTATTACGGTTATCAGATATACTTAAATTTAAAGAGTAACAAAATTATAATGTTAAAAGATGAACTCATTCGGAACATAAATCAATCAGTACAATCTTATTAAAACACAAATCCTAAATTGATGGGTACATTCGCGACCCTTACCACGAAGACGGGTGCTGTTGTGTTTAATATGTAGGAAGCAAACATATTTATTCAAACATAATTTTGTATGGAATTTTGTTTTTTTTTGCGGGATGTGGAGTATTCAAATTAAAACTAATTTGCAACTATTTGAGATAACCTTTTAATAGACAGCGATTTCATTTTATCTAGACGTTGCCATTCGATTTTGACGCGTTTGGTTTGTGTCGTTAGTCATCAGTTTGGTTAGACTACGAGATTAGTACCAACTTTTTTCTTAATATAATATCTCTGTTTGTGTACCCCTAAAAACTGCGTGCAAAGTTTAACGATGATCGACCATGTAGGTATACACAAACTCACTTTCGCAATTATAATATTAGCTAGTGAATCCCAGGGTAACATTGTAGTTCATCGCGGCGGTAAGACCCGTTATGGAGGATTGGCTCGAGAGGCGTCACGGGACCCTCTCATACCGATTGACGCAGGTGATCACTGGGAAGGGATGTTTCGGAGTTCACCTGTGTCTGATCCGCAAGGAGCCAACGCCTGAGTGCCACCACTGCGATGGCCAGACCGTGGACACGGCTCTCCACACGCTGGCAGAGTGCCCGGCGTTGGTTGAGCAGAGGCGAGACCTCGTGGCGGCCATCGGAGTGGGAGTTCTCTCGCTCGATAGCCTGATTGCGGCTATCGTGCGGAGCGAGAGTGCGTGGAACTCTGCCGTCTCCTGCGAGCAAGTTATGCTCGCGAAGGAGACGGCGGAGCGGGACCGGGAGAGGTTTAGAACTCTCCCGGCCCGCCAGGCCCGGGAACGGGCCAGGTACCGCAGGCGACTCAGGCGCCGGAGGTCGCAGAACGACCTCCGTCCTCCATAAGCGCAGGCCTGGGGGTGACAGGTGAGGCCATCTGTCACCCTACCGCTCGCTTCCAGGGAGCACAGGGAACATGGGGTTCCCACACGGGGGGGGGGGGGGTCGTCTACTCGTCTGTAGATGACCCGAGGTATGTCGGGGCACCAGGGACTTAATTTCTAGGGTATACCTGGTTCCCCGGCTATTAGTACCCGAGCGGCGTGCGGTTTTAGTCGGTTCGAGTCCGACATGCCACCGACAGGTGGTATCCGAGGGGATTTCCGCACGGAAAAAAAAAAGGGTAACATTGTAGTGTATTATTAATGTTGGTTTGGTTAAGACATCAATGCAAATTCAAGCTATTCTTCAAATTTCGACTTATGATGCTATTATGATATGCAACTGTGACAGGAAGAAAAGTGATGATGTGATTCTTTAATCACGTAACGTAAGTTTTACCATGTATCAAAAATGGTTTTAAATGGCATTTCATCAAATTGGTTTAGCTTTTGCTTTTTTTTTACAATGCCCGTCAATACACTGTTATAATAGATACGTATATATCTAACTTCCTTAAACTATATTTTTGAAAATTTATCCTTTGGATAAAGATTAAAGAAAAACCAAACACATTCCGTGTTTGGTTTGTCTTTAATTTTTATTGTTAATCTACTTTATTACGAAATATTTTGTTCTAGACAACATATTTCGGACACAACAATATGTAGAACTTAATAATGGAAAATACAACGAATTTACGTTATAGTAAGGCCCAGGTACAGTTATATCAAATTAACCCACCTGCCACAAATATAACAACCTTTGAATACGAAAGCATAAGTTTGCGAAATGTGTAATATTTGTCTTTAGAGAAAGTGGGTTGCTCAAATTTTTTTTATCCCAAAGGCCGAATTCCAAATGAAAAAAGTCCAAGCAAATACAAAAACACAAGTACAAGCAACCGTTGTGTATTAATGTTTTTAAGTAGAAATAAAAGAGATCATCGAGATAAATATTCTTATTTTAGATTGACATTTACATAATCAGGTACACAAGCTTATCGATACATATAGTAAATACCTACATGTAATAAAGCAACAATGTTGGTATTTCCTCTTTTTCTTTTAAATATGAGCAGACTTTTTTCCGCAAGCAACAACTACCATACCTACTATACACTTATACTTACACATCTTGTACGCTTTTACCTTAGTTTTTGCAAATATTTTTACAATAGATTATGGTGCCATTTTTTCTGAAATTGTTTATAATATAATACAACATTTCAACAGATTCGTCTGAGAGTCATATGGGGATCGACCGGAGTGATAAAACAGAAAACCGGTTTTCAACAGCTCTTCCGTTGTTTTTCACCGAGTAAGTAATGTTACCCTGTTTACTACGTGACTCGTTTTCCCCTGTACCATTTTTTTTTAACAAAAAAAAGTATTTAGTAAAATGTTGTTTTAAGGTTGAGCCGAGAAACAAATGAATGATGACAAAGGATGACCTCCCAATCCTTTAATTTATTATTAACTTTATAACAGTATCACCAACTTCAATGGGCCTGAACCGCGATTAATTGTGATACTTATACTGTATTTTTCAATTTTTAATTTTCTACCCTTTTATTTTTGTTCAAATATTTTCCAAATCGCTTAATAAATGACGGAGAATAAAAAATACAATCAAATTGAGAACCTTTTTCCTTTTTTTGAATTATAAAATAAAATGTAAAGTGACAGGTGAATAAATATTTGTAATTGTAAAATTTTCCTTTTTGTTAGGATTCCGTTGTCGTCCGCGTTTTAAACATTTAATTATTTCTTGATATGGGTCTTGATTCTGTTAACTTTGAAAACCCTTACCGCGAACGTCAGGAATTTTATATACAAAGTAATTACAAATTCTACTAAATTTCACACAGATATAAAACTATTCTTTCGTTGTATTCAACAATAAATAAAGAAAACTCTAAATGTAATTCTAGCTAAAAGCCCTGGTGAAAACTATTTTAAATAAAAATACATCGACATGGTTAGTAAAACTTAAAGTCTCGAGAAAACCACAACCGTAGAAAATAGATATACAGTGTGAAAATGTATACTAATTAAAATGGGGAAATTATGCCTCATTTTTCGATGTTTTCTTTATTGTATTTTTTAATTTCTGTAAATATTCTCACTTCTATGGTCACATTCTATTCCCACACAAAATGGCAAAATTATTACATAAGGTGCAGCGAGGAAAACAACTTTAAATATTAACAGTTTCAGGTTAAAGTGTATTTGAACAAAACTTCTTTGTTTTATCACTATTAACAATATTTGTAAAATTGATTAATATAATGGATATTTTCAATAATGTAATAGGTAAGAATAGAGATTAATAGGTAATCGACCCTTCTAAAAAATATATTCGTATTTTAATCAGAATATTTTCTATAAATCTCCGATAAGAAAACAATAATTAACGCGTCTGGGCTGTTTTTAATTAACAGTTATCTTTCGTCTGATCTGATTGTTCATCGAGAAATGAATCAATTTCTCTCCAATAACTTGTACAGTAAATCTGAAATCATTCTGTGTACCTACACATTTACAGAGAGGAAGGTTAATTGGGATTGAAAAATAAAATAAGTTTGAAAATTGTAAATAAAAAGAAGTATCATGAGGAATATATAGGAGGATAACAATATATAATAAGTCCGTAAATGGCTATGTTGCACAATGATTGTGTTTGTAAGAAGCTATTACTTTGTTTGTAGAGCATTCAATTGACCTACAAATTTCTATGTTTACAAAATTCAAATTTCTAAGGTAAAAGCAATGTATTGCATCTAATAAAATCAAACTACATATTAACTAGTACAAAATATATATGATGTATTCACATTAAGCAACCATTTCTCAAGTATTAACTAACAACGATAGCACTGTTATAATTTCTGGTTCGTCTTTTAAATTAGTTCCATCTTTGAAATGAGTTTTGAACAGTTTTCATGTTTTTAATCTGTTTTAAAAGCTATGTACAGTAACACAGCCTACGAATGGCATGGCAAAGTAAATTGAGCGAGGTCTAAGCCTTAAGCGATATAAGATTTTTTTCATAACAAAAAGATCCCTCTTTTGGGATATTGAGTTAAGGTAGCTAATGAAATGATCAGTAAGTATGTAGTACAATATGCTATCATTTGACATAATAGGTACATTAAAGAATGATTTTAGTATGTGCTTGCATTGTTTCCTCTCATAGCCACACTCATTCTTCTAACTGGTAGCGGAAAAGGTCGCGTTGTCAAAGGATGTCTAGGTCTTGCAGGACGAGGTGGTAACCGGGAGTCCGTGCTTGCTCGCGCTCGGAACTCATCTCCACATTCTGATCGACCCGAAGATGAGGTAGAGTCACTACGGCCAACACATGCTTCATCCTCCTCATCCAGCTCCATTTCTGTCAACCGACGACCTGGAAAATGGGAATAACATTTTGAAATTTTTGTTTCATAAGTTTGTGAAGGTTGCCGCCGTAATCCGGTAAGTTTAATTACAACGGTTAATAAATGTGTTAGAAGCAGTAAATGTTCATGGGTCTGATGCACCATTGGTCACTTGCCATGCTTTTCCCCATTCTAGTAATTTCAATATACCGTTATTATTTCAATGGAAGATTTATATTATGTTAACATACTCATATTATGTTAACATACTCATAACATGTCAATATATCAAAACTACCATTATAAACAAATATTAGAAGTTATAATTGTCAAATTTTAATCAAAATTAGTCTGTAGGCGGTAATAAGATAATCAAACCTATCGTATATTTTTTTATTTGGTGTCTATAAGTACTTATAGACACCAAATAAAATTGGAATAAGAGTGGACAGATTATGATGATGATATATGTTTTTATTATCTCCTCTTAATTTTTTTGATTTTGATATATATATATATATATATACTAGGTTATCCTAATAGGTCCTAATAGGTTTGGTTATCTTTTTTTATTAACCTAATCCTATTTTATGCCAAAATAGGATACTAAGGATACTTGAGTTTTTGCGATGGTTGAAACAATTCCTTAACTGTCGAAATCCATCCAGCCATTCGGAAGGTACGAGGTGATAAAGAAAAGAAACAAACAATCATATAAGATACGCGCGAAAAACATAACCCTTCCTTGGCAGTCGGGTAAAAAACTAAAAGCGGATGGATCGTTTTGAAAGCATTGGACACTAGTTCGGCTTTAACTGGATTACAATACAATCGGCTACAGGGAAACAGTATGTACATGTTTCATTTCTTTTCAAATATATTTAAATACATATTTCCAAAGAGGAAAGTTTAATTTCCTTCATCAATGTCCAACAGCTGCAAAGTAACGACCTCATTCTTTGTGAATAGCATTTTTATGTTTAACCATTCCGTCAAATATATATAATCGAAAGTACTGTAGATATATTATTTCTCTTTGAACTAGAAGCTTAAATTTAGATACATTAATACAGACCACTTCAGTGAAGAGGTATTAAAGAAAATGTATTCGAAAGTACTCTGTACTCAATATTGGTGAGTGATTTTTGTTTTTTATAATGAGATAGATACTAAAGAACAAACGCTGTGTGATACATGTAGAGTAGGTGTCTCTTATATGGGTGAAAAAAAAATTATATAGAAAGGCATACCCCCTATTTCTTTTTAAACTACCCAGACTTACTTAAATACATGTGTTGATGTTCTTCGCCCAGTGGGGAATGGCGAAGGGGTCTGTCGGACTGTTACCGACTAAAAACCACCTCGGTGTTCCTCTCCTTACCAATGGCCGGGTCCGCGAGAATCCCCACACGGGAGGGGGGAGGGGGGGGGGTCGTCTACTTGTTGTAGATGGCCCGAGGTATGTCGGGGCACCAGGGACTTCCTTTCTAGGGTATGCGTGCGGTTTTAGTCGGTTCGAGTCCATGCCACCGATAAGTGGTATTCGAGGGGATTTCCGCACGGAAAAAAATATGGGGGAGCGCAATTGTATTCTTCCGACACCCCTGACAGGCATTGACCCGTCTCATCCAAGATGGGTCTCGTCACACGTTGCGACCGTCGCCCTTCGGTCACAGTCTTCTAGAAGCGCACACGGAACAATGTGTGCTGCCTCTCGGTCCTGTATCTGTTCGGACGACGAATTGATCGACGAATGCCCTCCGGCGCCCAGTGCGCATTCTGCGGGTAGAGACAGCGGTGCTACGTTCTCTCTCCTGTCCTGCTGCATCCTTTGTGGACATCACGTTTTACCAGGAGGAAGTAACGGCGCTCCATGCACTCGCGCTCGCGACAAAACCAAGTTCGGAAGCAAGACGCTACGCGCAGAACTGACTGCTGCGATAAGATTACGACGATGGCTGGCCCAAGCTGAGGTTTCCGCCAGCGTGTGAAGCGACTTGTCGTCAGGGCAGTCATCACAATAATGGCACAGTGACGTCGGCTCCCGGCCGATCCGATACAAGTACTTGTCAAAGCAACCATGTCCGGAAAGCACCTGTGTCATCCGGAAGGTGAGAGTTCCGTGTTTCCTCTCCAGCCACTCTCGTAGGCCGGGTCTTACCGTCGCTATTGGGGCGTACCCTACACTGGGCCGCGCAAGTCGTTGGGCCCACTCCGAAACCAAGATCTGGCGGAGCTCTGCTCGCTATGCCTCTACTTTGAGGCACTGGTTGCTCATTCCGATATAGAGCATCCCTGCGCCACCGATACGCCAACATTAAGCCATGACGACAGAACTCTGAAGATTTTGAAAATTGCTGTTTTAAACCCTTTCCGTTATGTAGTTAAATCAATTGAAATATTTAAATTTTATAAAATATTGATTAAAAGAAGACAAAATTATAGATCAAGTAGGATATTTTCTTTTGAGGGTCTCTTTTAACAGTCTGAATACAGATTTCTATGCTCCTGAACACGGTGTAGCAAAAATTGCTTTTGCTCTTCCATTGCAGTAATCAAACCATGAAACATGATTCGATGCAAGTCGTACTCCAAATAATAAAAAAAATATATTTCCGAGTGTTTTAAAGGCTAATGAACAAAACTAAGACTTATGCGTTAGAAATTTAAAACTGTGAAAAGTAAGAGACACGCTAAATTGTAGAGGTCTTAAACTCCTATTTCTGTCATGAAGTGTTTTTCTTGGCTTACACCTCTTCGGACGCTTAATCGCCTGAGAAATTTCCTACCAATAAAAACCAAGACTATGCTTGTGCAAACCCTTATCTTCCTACTGTATGTGTGGTGGTGTGCTGTTATGACCTGAATGCAGATCTTCTCGATAAATTATTCTTCTTAATAACCGCATTCGATTTTTTTATTTTTTTATATGTATAATGTGTATAGGTTCTAGTGTATAATAGGTTTATATAATATATTATGCGTATTTAATATATTATATAGTTTGCCTATTCCATTACGAATTTTAAGTAAAATGCACCTACTTCCCGTTTTCTCTGCATCACCCAATGGGCAGAGAATGTCGTATGTCCACCAATGCACCAAATGTGCATGATAAAATATCTAAAAACATGAACAATACGGTGTAAGCATTAGGTGCCTACAAAGAGTATTTATTTAACTACAGAAAACTTATTTAATATAGATAAAACGGGTAATTAAATGCTCTTAAGGTTGTGGTTCTGTAGGTACTTATGGACAAATGCACAGACGTTGAGATGCACGTGGGTCATAATAGTTTAAATAAACAGTAATGACAAAAAGTAGTATAGATAAATATCCAAAAACGATGAGCCATGTATTGATGTAAAACGGGTTCACATAAAAGCGGCAGTAAATGGCAATAAATTTTAATTACAAAGTTTACTTATAAATTGCCGGCTCTGGTGAACAATTTTATAACTTTGTGATTGCAGATTGACCACACATTAAAACGCTACACCGCTTGTGTACACCACTGAAGTAATATAATTCTGTAGGTAGGTATTTTAATCTATTTTAATACCTGATAACTAATAAATATTGAATAGTATAGAATACTATATAATAAATTAATGTTTTTAAATACTTTGTTTAAATTATTATTTTGTGTGTCAGCCATACAAGACTAGACTTTCGTAAAAAATAATTCCTATTTTTCGTATGAAAAATGTGCTTTTCAAATTAAAGCGTCACTAAAATCGGGTAATAGCAAGCAGAAAATATTTACATTACTAGCTGTAGTCAGCCGCGCTTCTCTGCATTGTAATTGCATTGATGAGAAATGAAAAACCAAACTAAAGGGCAAAATGGATAAAAACAGTCTTTGAGGCGTCTTGTATATCGTATCAAAATTTGAGCTCAATCGGTGCAGAGCTTTTTGTGTTTGTAACAACCAACAACCAGCGTACACAAACCAACTTCACATTTATATATTTATAGATTTAAATAAAAGAGAGTAAAAACAAGTACAAAATTTAGTAGAAATAATAGCTCAACACTATCAGACTTTGAAACTTTTATATAGTAGCAACTATTATTACAGTACAATACAAGTTACTAGTGTTTGTTTTTTGGTTGTTGCCTCATTTTTGGTTGAGTATGTAGGTAGTTGACTTGCGTACACTACAACTCTACTTAAACCATGAAAGGCCTGGCGGGAGAGTAAAAGTAAAAAAGCTAATTTTTAAGTGTGACATCTTTCTTCTCACTTTCCTCACGTTATGGGACTGATTTCGTATAAAGGTTATTTTATTTGATTTAGGTACCTACCCAATTATTAAAATGTAACTTTGGGAAACAACATATTAAACTACCCACTTATTAAAACATTTTGGTCTATGAAATAATTTCATAACATTTATAAAGTAAGTACAAACTTTGACAAAAAATACCTCACCGGTTTTACTTAACCAATAAAAATTTAATTGCTTTTCAAATTTTTTTAGTCCAGAACAAAAGCCGACAGAAGTCACAAAGCAAGCCAATAAAAAATATTACATTTGTTTTGTTTGTAATACTAAAGTGATATAAATCTTCAATTCATGGAGGATGATAAACTAATATTGAAATCAACTATATACATCTAACTGCCAACAATTAACAATATTTTACAAGAGCACGATTATTTAAAGTGGGTGGGTGGTATTTATGTAAATTAAATACATATGTATTTAGTAACATATTTGATTTATAATCTGAAGGTTTACGTAAAAAGTTTGAAGATACATATTTAATATTCTCATGACTATCTGGAATTAAAACTTTCTATTGTAAGGTAAATATTAAAGTTTCTTCTTCTTCTTTAAGTGCCTCTCCGACTAGTGAAGGTTGGTAGTCAGCTCTGAGTGCTCTTTCTTGTTTTTTTGCAAGTCGTATAAAGTTTATAAAGGTTAGGTTAGTTTTTAGGTTTTATTGATGAATTTTATTTTTGTTTGTTTTATTTTTCCTCCATTATTTTGAGGTGTAAAACATATACTAGATAATGGCTCAAACTGACGGCATCTAACTTAATTCAAAGGCAAACGTTCGCAATAAGGTTCTTACGAGAAAATGTCGTCATCAAAATTTGACGAAAAAAAACGGAAAATATTTAACTGAAGATACTTAAATTAATGCAAGTACATATATACAAGATCGATATAGATATTACCATTTTAATTGAAAAATTATCCATTTGTTTCTTTAAACTTCCATTCTTTTCGTATAAAAATTGTGAATTTTCCTGTAAAATTT